ATTACTACAATCATTGGAATTTGATCTGTTGTTTTTATAATCTAACTGAATAAATGTGTTTCCCATAATAATATAGAAGTTTTAATATGCAGTTTATCTTCATATTACACATATAATCAAAATTAATGATGAATAATCACTACAATTTTCATAAAATTAATAAATTAATTGCTCGTCATAAATTTTGAAAGTGTTAGATAACGATCCGAAAGTGGTAGCTGAGTATACATACTGCTCCACGCATTTCACAAGTTGCATTTCGCAAACTATTTATTTATTTAAAATTTGAGTTTATATATTGTATTTATTTATTTATACTAATTGCTACTAAAATCTTCATATTATTAGTATTTGCAAAAAGAATCCCTGTTTTAATATTTCTTTCTAACTGGAAAACAAAATCACGGAAAGTACAAAAGTATTTGAGAATATTTTTCTATTGCAACCGGAGAAAATTCGAATTTTTCTATTTTATTTTTGTCACTTTATAATTTCAATGATGTATCAATTGTATTTTCTTTTTAACAATAATTTTACCCTTGTTCACTTTCAAATAATTACAATGTAATAAGAAGCATTTAGTGAATATTTTGTTTTGCTATAATCCGTGTATATATATATATATATATATATATATATATATATATATATTAACTTTCTTAAAATATGGCTCTATGCTCAACAATCCAAAATGATAAATATTATGGGACGAACTGGAGTATTGACTAAGAATTAAGTAGTGCATAGTTTCAAATTAATTGTGAATTTGAAGAATTTTTCTTCTTCGTTATTATTTGACACTTTAGAATTTCAGTGATACACTAAAAATCATTTTCTTACTTTTGCCCTTATCACTCTTAATTAATTGAATAAAATTGATGAGATTGTTATGTTAATCACAACATACATGCTTTTCTAAAATGTGTGCAACAATCCAAAACGATACTTATTTTGAAATATAAGGAGTAGGAGTTTGTACTTCCGTCGTTGTTAATTATATGTCGTTTTGGAAGAATTGTTTTATTATGCATATTATCTGTCATTTTAAAATTTAGATGACTCATTAATCAACATTTTCTCAAAATTGCCTTTCTTACTATTAATTAGTTGAAAGAGCTAGAACGAGCGAAATTAAAATTAATGAGAATGATATTTTAGTTATCCTATATATGATTTTTCTATAAAATCCACATCTATTTATGAATTTTGTTAATAAGTATGCACAATTATATTCAGAACAACATTTGAAAGTCAAGTTGAAAAGATCAACATTTATCTAATGAAATGCGCGGTCACAAAATTGCTATTCGCGGTTTATAACAAAATCCCCCAAAACTTTTAAAAATATCAAAAAACTCCCCAAAACTGCAAATAGCAAAAAAAAAAAAAAAACAAATTCGAAAATTCGAAATCAAGCTTGAAGAAGGGTTGGGCTTCGAGTTTTTGATGTAATTTCGACCCTTTTATTTGTAATATGCATTGGGTAGGTCGATTACGGAACCAATTTCATGTTAAAAAGCCCTATAAATCGATTTGTAAGGCCTTTTTTTTCGCAAAAAAATGTTCGAACGCCCAAGATGGGCGCCCAAGGCGTGTACGAACGCCCATTCCGGGCGTTCGAGCATTTAAAAAAAAGAAATTTGCACTGGACGCCCAACTCGGGCGCCCAAATGCACCTTGCACGCCCAACTTGGGCGTGCACTGCATGAATGGGCGCCCAAGTTGGGCTTTTACGCGTTTTGGGGGGGGGGGGGGGGTTTGGATTTTTTTGGGAAGTTTTGAGGTTTTAGTGAAATAAAGTATTTTTTGGGGGGGTTTTGTTATAAACCGCGAATAGCAATTTTCAAACCGCAAAAAGCAATTCCCTTTATCTAAAATGTTTGAACGCCAGATCAACATTTATCCAAATAGTAAAATAACAATTAATACAAGATTTAGGGGAGATGAGAACAAACACTTGGCAAACTAGTCTTCAAGTCATGAAATAAAAGGGACAATTAGTTATAATAATAATAATAATAATAATTGTTAATAATAATATGTGTTAATAAATAATGAATGAATAGAGAAAAGCTTAAAAGTGGGGGAGGGAAGCAGGAAAAATGGAGGGTGGCAGAAACAGCATGTGGCATAGAGACATGAAACCGCAAGACATGCTTATGTGAAGCCGCACCAAAATGTTGACCATCTCTATTTTTATATATAGTATATATAGCGGCACCTACTTGCTACATATTGCCTGCCTGACTATGCATGTGGGGCATTTTTAAACGTTTAATTCACGGGAACTTTTTATTTGGCCCGACTCTGATAAATGTTGAATAATTATTTGAACTATGAACTTAATATGTTATTAAAATGAATTATTTAATATTAAGATCTCAAATAGAATTGGAGGCGAAAATGTATAGTTATATACTTTCTTTTCATATCTTTGTTGTTAAATTGACCTTACGAAACATGCATATACTGATTCGAATCCCCAATCTCTCACTAAACACTATTACATAAGCAGCTCCTAGTACCTCGTCGTTGGGCTACAACTTAGTTGGTTGTAGTTATATAGTTTAGTTAATTGTAGATATGTTGGATTGTATAAGCTTTGTTGTGCCGGCTGGTTGTTAATTAGGGGTGTAGCAACTATTGAGGAGATGTGACCTAATTGTAACAATCAAAGGTCAAGGTATTTTGTTTGAGAACATGTTCAATATTAATTTACTAGACTATGGATGTTAGATATTTACGGGGATTGCGGACAATGAACTGAGGCTTTTCCTCGGTTAATTCACATAAAGTAGCACAACATATTTAGATTTCAATTGAGGAACATTAACTCCTGCATTTCTTAAAAAAAATGTTACACCATCACGCAAAGAACTCCATTCGTTTTTTTGCTCAAGTACTGAATTTGAATCTTTGACACTTGAACTAATGTTATTTATTGCATTCACAATATCCTGACATTTCCTCTGAAGTGCTTGAGATAGCTTATTTATATCGCCAATATTTTTTTCATAAAAAAATAGGCTCAATAAAAATCAAGTGACAAAAATCTATCTACAATATCTTGTGCTTCGGCTCAATGACTTGTGCTTGAAGCATCACGATCAATAATTTTAAAGTGCAAGTTCAACTAAGTGTTCTAGCGAGAGCTCCAATGTGTGTCATATGTAAATTATTAAAACATAAAATTGACAATACATTCCTTATAATAAAGAAGGATATATTGAAGCTTAGAATTCTTCTCTTATACATACTACGGTAATAAACCATAATCAATTTCGAATTCAAACTTGTAAGATTTTTTTAAAGAAGACAACAAATTTAGTAGGCAATAAAAAATTTACAATACACACACATATATATATATATATATATATATATATATATATATATATAATTACCATGAAATAATAAAATTGTCAAGAACCCCTTCCTTAAAAGAAGATTTTGAAATCGTTACATTAAATTAATTGTGCGTTATATAAATATCAACAATTAATCCAAACACTAATCATCACCAAACACTTACTCAATGTAATAAAATACAAATCAAATCATATCACGACACGTAAACAAACAGATACACTACCATAGTTGGTGCAAGGTAATCAGTAAATTACCGTTACAATTACAGCCCCCCAGCAGTTGAATAGACAAGGTAAATAAAACCGTTGCTAATGTAAGCCTAATTAAATTAATAAAAAAAAAAAAAAGAAAGAAAACATTAAATCCTCTATCTTTGTCTCTCTCCCTATACCTCGGAATATTTTTAGCTATCACTTCGGCCACCAGAAAAAAAAAAAATAAATAAATAAAATAATAATAATAATAAATTACCATTCCTTTCCCGAGGGAGGGTGAAGAATCACAGCCCAGCGCATGTTAGCAGACCCCGCCCCCGCCAAGCCACCGAACCACCGGGGCCCACTACTAAAATACGCCACGTACGCATTATGGTACCTGTATATCCGACCCCCCCCCTCCCACCCCCGGCGGTACCCCGTCTTGTTTTCTGGGAACCCGTTCTTTTTCTTTTTTTTTTAATAAATAAATAAAATTAAGGTCCGAAAATTTGAAGGGCAACTCCAAAATAGAAAGGCCCATTCACACAAACCTCCTACACATACATATATATATATATATACACATACATATCACACTATACAAAGAGAGAGAGAGAGAGAGAAAGTTGTAATCGGAAAATCTTTTGATTAAAACACAGTGTGTGAATTAATTCGTGTGTAATTCCACACGAATTATATATATATATATACATATATATTCGGTAAATTAGATATTTTATATGGTCAAGATTTAGTGATTTTGTTTCCTCGTACAACCTTAATTTTTTTCTGGAGATTGTGTTGTAATTCAGAGGGGGCAAAAAATAATCAACGAATATTCCGGTTGCCCCCAGTCAAAGATTTTACTCAATCACAAAAATCCAACTGGTAATAAATACTCTTCTCTCTCATTTTTCACTCCCAATTTTTACTCTATTTTATTTTTTGCAGCAAATTTTCTTGGTGAGTTTCTGGTGTCTCTGTTTGTTAGTTTTGTGTGTGGGATTTTTAAAAAAAATAATTTAATTGAATTTTCGGTTGTTTACAGCCTGTAATTTGCTATGAATATGCGTGCTTGTTTTTCACACCTCCATATGTGCGTGTGTGTGTGTGTGTATGCGCTGTAAAAAAATGTTGACGGTGGGGGGCTATGCCGCCACAAAAGCACACAGCCCGCCCCACCACCGCATACGGCGGAGGAGGGAGGGAAGAAAAAAAACAATACACCTTTTCACAGGTGGTCAAAAACCCCTTGTTTAATCAATCAATTGGCTTAATTAGAATCCTTCTAGATTTCTAGCCCCCAAATCTTCTATTAATTATTCAATTTTTCTTTTCACTCCCCTTTAATTATTTTACACTATTAATTAATTAATTAATTAATTAATTAATTTAGTATGTATCTACTTCGTGATTGGTGCTTGTGATTCTGTAATGGAGTAAGAAGAATCAAATTGTTCGCTTGTCTGAACTTCCATTTTTTTCTTTTCTTCTTCAGATTTTCACATAATAAAATGGATGATGAATATCAGAAGCTTATCAGGAGAATGAACCCTCCTAGGTATATATATATATATATATATATATATATATATGTTTTTCCTCTGTACAGAACAGTTATATTTCATATTTCACTAAAACTTCAATTGTTTTCTATTTTGCCAGAGTCGTAATCGATAACGAATCTTGCAAGAACGCAACCGTGATTCAGGTACTTATTTCGATTTTCGGTGTTTCTTTTTTTGTTATAATAAAAATAAATATATATTAATATTTGTTTGTTGTTTGATGAAGGTGGACAGTGCTAACAAACAAGGAATCCTTCTAGAAGTTGTGCAAATCCTCACGGATCTCAATCTTATGATAACGAAAGCGTACATTTGCTCCGATGGAGCCGGTTCAGGATGGTAATAGGATGATACATGACGTTCCCGATTACGTCGTATCGAGATGAACGCAAATGTTTAATATATCTGTTTTCTTTGCATTAGTGTTCAATGTGACCGGACCACGACGGCAACAAGATGACCGACGAGGGAATTCTTGAGTATATCGAGAAGGTTAGTAGTTAGTTCTAGTAGTATCGAAACAATTTTTGGTATTAAATCGGATAAATACTAAATGATTGTAATTGGAATTTTTTTTTTGTATGTAGTCATTGGGTCCCGATTCTTGCTTTGCATCTTCGATGAGAAGATCGGTGGGAGTCAAATCCGAGTCAAACCACACAGCGATCGAGTTAACCGGGACCGACAGACCAGGGTTACTTTCCGAGGTGAGTGCTGTCCTAGCCCACCTGAAATGCAACGTGGTCAACGCTGAGGTGTGGACCCACAACACCCGAGCTGCTGCCGTGATGCAAGTAACCGACGAGACGACCGGTGGGCCCATCGCTGACCAGGAGAGACTAACCATGGTTAAGCGGCTGCTCTGCAACGTGCTCAAGGGTAGTAACAAGTCGAGGGAGGCGAAGACTGTGGTCTCTCACGGGTCAACCCACACCGAGAGGCGGCTCCACCAGATGATGTTTGATGACCGGGATTACGAAAGAATGGACGGCGAAGATGATTCTTCGGAGAGGCCTAGTGTGAACGTGGTTAATTGGAACGATAAGGATTATTCGGTGGTTACTATTCGGTGTAAAGATAGGCCGAAGCTTTTGTTCGATATCGTTTGTACTTTGACTGATATGCAGTATGTTGTTTTCCATGGGAATGTCGAGACTCAAGGGCCCGAAGCTTATCAGGTAAAAATAAATTTTAAAAAATTATACGCGTTACGTTTTATGTTTTTATATGCACTGATTTTTTTTTTTTCGTGTGTGTGTGTGTGTGTGTGTATGTTTGAAGGAATATTGTATAAGGCATATAGACGGATCGCCTGTGAAATCCGATGCAGAGAGACAAAGGGTGGTTCAATGTCTTGAAGCCGCAATACAGCGACGAGTCTCTGAAGTAAGATTTTTTTATTCCGGGTCTATTGCTTCTAATGCTTCTAATTTCGTCAATGATTTAAAAAAAAAAAAAAAGAAAAAAAAAACCGATTCTTGAAAATGTATTAGGGATATATATGCATGTCATTTTGATGCTGACCAACTCTATACATATCTAACCGATTATTATTTGCATTTGTTTAATTTTTATTTTAAATAATGTTGATTTGTTCGTCTAATGATTAGGGTTTGAAGCTAGAACTATGCACTACCGATAGAGTCGGACTGCTCTCGGATGTTACTAGAATATTCCGTGAGAATAGCCTATCGGTAACCCGAGCAGAAGTGACAACAAGGGCAGGAAAAGCAGTCAACACTTTCTACGTTCGTGATGCATCCGGTTATCCAGTTGACCCGAAGATTATAGATTCAATTCGGCAGACAATCGGTCAAACGATACTCCGAGTCAAAGGCACCCCGGAGGAATCTAATCAGGCCCCACAAGAATCTCCAACCAGATTCCTCTTCGGCGGCCTTTTTAAGTCGAGGTCGTTCTGTAATTTCGGTTTGGTTAGGTCTTACTCATGAAAATCGGAAAATCGTAAAGCCGTGTTTGTTGTAGTTCCCCCCCTGTGTAAATATTTTGTGTTTGTCTCTGTTTAATTAGGACAAAATGGGAAATTTAAGGTAGTTTAATTACTTTTGTGTCAAGCTTTGAATCATATGTACAGAACAAATTATGCTTTCAATGAAATGGAATGAATGCCTATTTTTACTACATGGCTTGAAATTTTTTCTTTTTATTTATTTTTTTAAAATTTTTAATTAGCTTGATGTTTCAAATAATTCTGGGGTCAAATTAATATTAATTACTAGGTGTGGGGCCGGCGGCTGGCAAATAAAAATGTTGTAATGATAAATTAATCAAACGTTATATTATAAGATCATTTACCAAGACTTGAGGAGTATATATATATTTTTTGTTACAGAAAATGACAGGGGACTAGATTTTATTTATTTAAATAATTAATTTATTAATTTTTGGGCGGTGAAATCTTTTAATTTGTTTGCAACTTTTGAAGAGGTTATTTATTAGTGGTTTCGTGCGTGGAATTTGAATTTGCCTTATCTTATTGGCTAGGGAAATTACTTAGAAGCTTCGTATACTTTAATGATGTGCCTATTCCTTCTTATTATTGCATTTTTGCATTAAGGTTTCTGTCAATGATATAGAAGATTAAGGGTCCGTTTGGCTAAATTTATTTTAATAGTTGATGAAATCTTGCATCTGATGTATATATTATTGTCAAAACTGATAAGTTGTTACGTCTATATTTAAAATCACCAAACACTTTAAAAAAACTTATAAGTTCTTAAACATTTTATACGTTTTATTTAACAACTTAAAATCTTAGCCAAACGGGCCTTTAAGTTTATTCATTTCTAAGTTAGTGTGTGAATATTCAATATTTGGTAAGTTGCAGTTTATTGCTTTTTCCTTTTTTCTTTTCTGAAGTGCAAAACGTTTTGTACCAAAAAAGGAGGGTTTGGTCAAATTGGAAAGTTGTGTAAATATGCTGAAAGGGATGGTATTAAGCAATATTCAGTATGAGAAAAAAAAAAAAGGGACACATTTTTTATTTTATTTTGAGCCCAGAACCAATGTATATTGGTCTAGTCAGCATATGTATTATTGCTTACTTTATCATGTAGTGGGGTGCTGCCACTTGGACGGCTACTGCGTGTGTGTGTGTTTTGCCACGTCGGAAATGGATACATGTTTGTGATTTGCTGGAATAATTAAGCGTACACACTTTCCTAAACAACATAATTAGGGGACTCTTAATTAAACAACCTTAATATTATTTGAAAGTTTCTTATAGATAGAAAATTTATTTGTGATTTTCTTTTTGCGTTCTTGGATATATAGCCCCAAATATTACAATAATTGGAAAATGTTCGGTTCCATTTTCTCTACCACTGTCCGAATATTAAACATTTATGCCGCAACAGAGTTTCACCGTCTGGACATCAAATACATCCATGGGGAATTGAAACGACCCTCCTCTCTAATAAACTGGTAACATCCTCCTATAGGGCCCTGATTAGCGCGTCACGTGGCAGAGCTTCTCCCATTCCTCCGATACATTTTGGTTTTTCTTCCATCGATTTTAGTATTGTCATGTGATAGTTTACGTAATCGACTATAATCGATTAATAAATCAACTATGTTTTTGTTGTAGTCGATTTATCGTTTTTCAGGTCTAATATACCCCTTAATAATTTAATCAACTACACAAATATCATAGTAAATTAACATCCAGTTTAATTTATAATTTCGCGAGAAAATATCACGTAATCTAAATTTCACGAAAAACCATAAGAAGGGAATTACCACTAATTAATTAGTTCCAAAGAGTAGACATATCTCAATGCAATTTCAAAACGAGGGTTAGGTTATATTCTGTCTCGCTTTATTAATCGGTCGCTAATTTGGGAATAGATGCGAGTATATATACATATACATATATGTATATTGATGTGAGTATTCTAATTAGATTCCACAAGAAAAGAGGTGGGTTGGGTATACACAGCTTTCAAGGACCATATCCTTATTTTATTTTTCTTTTAATAGTCAAACCTCAATAAATTTCAATTAGATTTCATACAATCTCCAACATAAATCATGATTATTGCAGTACTATTATGATAGATATACATGTGGACTGAATAATTAATATCTATATATTAGAGTCTTTTATTAATAAAGTTTGAAGTAAATAAATATTAGGCAAAAGTTGGTCATATACTTTACGTTTCTGAAAGTAGATGCTTACAGGTTAAGGTGAATCTTGTTTGTTTAGACTTTGGAGAGAGAGAGAGAGAGAGAGAGAGAGAGAGAGAGAGAGAGAGAGTCATGTGAGAGAGAGTCATGTGCTAACTTTGGGAAATCTGCTGCACTGTGATATTCAGATTTGATTAATTTATCCAAGATGCACCGATTCTTTGCTCACGTGAATTTAGTTAAAGTATTAATTTACCAAACATCCCATTAGTTTAGCATTGGGGTGTGAACGAGCCGAACTCGCCTATTTCGACAGGTTCGAGTTCCAACTCGATTATCTGTACACGAGCTCGCATGAATATCGGTGAGCTCGAGCTTTAAATAATAAAATAATAATAATAATTATTTATTATTATTATTATTTTATTGTATAATAATGAATTGTACAATTTAATCAAAGAAAAAAAGGGCTCTTGACATTAAACTGTTCGAAAAATACTCAAATTTAAATAACTAGTATATACTAATATTTTTGACAATTTAAGCGTCATGTTTCTACTGCATATATACCATGCGTCCATGTATAGTAGAACCTCGATAAATTAATAAGTTTGTTTAAATAAAAAGAAAAATCATTCTCGACTCGATAAAAACGTATTAAATTATTGTTTCAATGATTTAATATTTCAAAAAATAATAAAATTTTGTTAATTCTGCATATGTTATTTTATAGAGGTTTAACTGTATATTCCCATTAAATTCACCATAGGATACTTATTAGTTACACTCATCTGGGGGATGGGGGGCTCAGCCCACAACACAAAAACAATCCAACAGATGTTTGATTGCAATAAAGAAACACTTACTTCAAACACAAAAATAGCATCACCTTTCAATAATATATATATCAAATTAAAGCCTCTCTCTCTATATCCAAACATATTATTATTATTATTATTATCATCAAGAATACATATACCAAATGCAAATGGAGAGCATCTTTGACACTGAGTTTCCTGGATTCCTCCCGGCCAATATTGCTCCAAGAGACGAGTTTGTGGCCGCTCGGAGGGCCCCTTTGAGCCGGCTCCAAAGACGGGCCCCCGGCCCGTTGCTGCTAAAGCCCGCCACTTCTGAAGTAAAATCCACCGGTGGCAATAATAAAGATTCATCCTCGTCAATAGTAGATTCTTGTTTTTCAAGTAAAGATCCGATTCCTCTTCTCTCGCCTCTTGTTCTCCCTTCCATGCTCGATTCTCCACTACTCCGACACGAAAGTAGTATTGTGTCCAATAACTCTCATTGATGTATATTTGCGATTGTTATTTGCTTGTCGTTGATTGGAGTTTGAAATGTAAAATTTGTGCCAATTATATTTGTTGCAATTACTTTCTTATACCAAATGATCGATGATATTAGCTCTACATATCATCAAGCTTCTATATATACATATCGACAAACACTTTGAAAGAGAATTTTGTTACATCAAACACTTGTACAACATATATAACTATTGTGAAAGAGCAGTGAAATTAAACATATTAATTATAACTATTTTCATCAATTCATTAAAACCATTGGTACATATAGATACAAATAAATAGAGCATAATATTGCTCTTACAGCGATTGCGCAGAATGACCTGAATACCATGTTGAGGAGTGATTGTAATTTGTAAGTACTTGAAAAGGGGAGTGCACATATATAACTCGGCGAAATACTGAATTCGTAACACTGGAGAATCATAGATAGCGTTATCTTAGCTTTGTTAGCCGCAAAGTTGATTCCGACACAAGGGCGGGTCCCACGGCCAAATGGCAAGAATCCCATTGATCAATAATAATTTCAGTATGCCGCCTTAGTCAACCCTTGGTCAAATCGAGCACTATGGATTGAACAAACGAGCATCTTCTCCCCCATATCTCCTAGTTTTTGTTGAGTGCTGACGGAGGAATATTCACCTCACCTCCACATTTGCCGGAATTCCGTACCTCCCCAATCTCGCTTTCCTCTCCACTATTCAATTGTCGGATAAACGGCCGGTCCGTAAAGCCTCGTGCTTCGTTAACTACATATAGTTAACTCTGCATGCATGCAAATAAAGAACGTGCATGATGAGAAACCGAAAAAGAGAGAGAAAAAGTCTCTAAAGGCCGCACTAGCACGTACGGTTCATAAATCTCTTTTGTGTTTCCATATATGAATTTTTAGGATGGACCATTCAGCCCCTGGATGCGCCGGACACGAATCGGGCTTCATATTAGCTTTAAGGAAAAAAAAAAAAAAAACAATGTCTAGAAAATAAACATGCATGATTATTAATTACGTGGGCTTACTCATTTTGGAAATATATATATAAGCTTGAATGGGGACAAATTACAAGATGCCACTTGGACTAGGCTTACTCAATTGGGCTCACCTGGGCCTATGTTTCTTGACCATTTTAGCGTGGCCCATATTTAATTATTCACTATAAAATAAATATCATTTCTTTAATTTCAATTTCTTCAACAACATTTAAATAGTTTCGATTTCACTATTATCGACGATCTTAGTATTAGATAATTTATTTCACTAAAAATTTAAACTCTTGAATGAAATCGTCATTCAA